ATCATCAGCACTGCGAGAAGAGGGGGGCTGTAACTAGTGTTTGAAACACTTCATGAATATTACAGGTTTCTTGGGAAAATTCTGTAATGCTTGGTTTGTTACTAGGATAGTTCGTAAGACAGGTGGAATATATAACATTAATTAAAATGTCTTTGGGTAAGGGATGACCTTTGTGAGTCAGAAAGACCTGACTTGTCATAATTTAGAGTATGAGGCAGTATACCTTTTAGAACATGTGTCCTAACCTGGAAATGGTAGATTCACGTAAAGATTATATGTGGTTATGTTTGTTTTTCTGGGGAAAACAGATTGATAATACTTGGATTCCATCATTAATTCTTTAATTTAATAGAAATTTTTTTTTTTTGTAGGTAAACTTTCCTGAAAATGGCTTTCTCTCTCCTGATAAACTTTCTTTGCTGGAAAAACTCCTTCCTGAGAGGAAGGAAGTAGAAGAGACTGATGAAATGGATCAAGTAGAACTGGTGGACTTTGATCCAAATCAGGAAAGACGGCGCCATTATAATGGAGAAGCTTATGAGGATGATGAACATCATCCCAGAGGTGGTGTTCAGTGTCAAACCTCTTAATGGGGCCAGTGAATAACACTCACTGCTAGCATTTTATATGCGGTAGTGAATGAGTGAAGGACTATTGATCATCATATGCTCACTACTTGCTATTGTTTTTGTTTTAATATTCAACTATAGTAGTGTTTTGAAAGTTAAATGAAGAATAAAAGCAAATATAAAAGCTCTGACTTTGCCCTGTATGTACGATGACTTCAGTGTACAAGGTGAAGTTTTAATACCTGTAAAAACTACTTTTAAAAAGTTCCCCTAGCCATCTGTTAGGCCATACTTGTGATTCCTCTGTGTACATGAACAAGCTTAGACTGAAATGCTAGGTTCTGTGTTGATGTTAGTGTATGACACTTCATTGTTAAGCTATGAAATTAAAACTCTTGTATTTAACTGGCAATCCAAAAACAAAAGTTAATTTGTAGAGAACTGTTGGTCTGTCTAGTTACTTGTATTAATGGACTCATTGTGATGCCTCTGCATTATATTGCCTCAACTATTACTTGAAGGTGGCATAATACATAATTTAGCCTGTGTTATCATCAATAGAAATGATACCTTTCTAAAGAAGAGGTTTATCATATGCTGCTGCTTAAGGGCTTGCACTTCTAGAATTGCATTCCCTTCTGTGCCATCTTTTTAAAATAGTTATATATATATATAAAAATATATAAAATAAACTGTTGACCAGTCATGGTACATTCTTTTCCCTTCTCTTTGGACCATGATAAGCCCTAGAGTGTCTTCCAGATCTGGATAACTTAGAAATAAAAGTGAAGAGACCTGTATGTTGAAAAGTAATTTGCATGTATAATGTAGGAAGGTGTTCCTTAGGTATGGTACAGGCTTACTTTAAACCATTTGACTTATGCTCCAAAGTAACTAATTCAATGTTGGTAGTATAGCAAATTATGATGAATAGTGTTAATTGTATGTTTAAAGTCATGTTCACAAGCTTAAGTCTGGGTATCAGAATTTAAGCAATTCTTGAAATGTATGAATGTCTCCTCAATATATTGATTACAAAGCATTTCCAATGTGTCACTACAGGCTTTTTTTTCTGAGCATCAAAACATACATGTTTTATATATAACTTTGTTTTACTTAAAGTTAATAACATGAAAATACTCAATTACAATTAAACATGGTTAGGGATAAAAGTGGAGACCAGATCTAAATCAAAAGGAGAGTTAAAAGACTGACCACTGGGTACACAGCGAATTTTCTGTCCATATGGACTGTCTCTCCTGTAATCAAGAATCTTAAATTCCAACTTGGAAGTGGCCTGAAGTTTTTGTTCCCGTCACGGAGTACACTTGTGTTACAAAGCAAAACCCAAAAGTTGCTGTTCAAAAAAAATTTCCCAAACGTTCAGCATTTCTTTAGTGCTGATTCTCAGCCTTAACTACAAGTGGAATTACCTAGGAAACAAAAACTGATCAAGTTCCGCCCCCTAGGGATTTTGTTGTGATTGGGCTAACCATTAAGATTACCACATGCAACTGAGTTTGAAAACAACAAAGGGATAGTACCTGTATTAATCACATGAGGCAGTTACCACTATTAGAACTGCTGTTAGAAGGTCAAATAATAGCAGGCCTTGCTATTGTGAGTTTTAAACAAGCCCAGAACAGGAAAACTGCTTCACAGGGACTTTCCTATTGGAATAGTGGGAAATGAAGCTCTAAGAAGCATAGTGAAAATGTTAGCAAACTGCAATAAAAACCTGGCTATTTCTCCAGCCTATGAGACTGATAACAAGATTTAAAACACGTATTTTAAAAGGTTATATAAATCACCTACTTTATGAGGAAACTACTAGTCTACTGGCTCTCAAGTTTGGAAAATGCTTGCTGGGTCCCACCACCACCATGTGTAGGGGTAAGACCTGAGAATTTGACCTTCAAATAGGTTGCCCATGTTCTAGTTTGAGTAAACAAGATGGCTGGAATTCAATTTTTAATTCAGTGTTATTCAGTTATTTCATTATCCGAAGTTTGCTTAGAAAAATGTCTTAATAGAAAGTGGGGAAATAATTCTTTGCCTCAGCACAAATCCTAAAGATTAAGAAGAAACTTCACAGCAAGATTCAGAGAGGCAGGCAGTAAAGAAATGAACCTTCGGAATCCCCTGTCAATGTGAGCTCCATGCAAGTTGTGTCAGTAATGTGTGGAAACCCATTTCTTGGTGTTTGGGGGTAGGGAGTTTTAATCAGATCTCATACAGTGGTTCTGAAAAACAAGGCTGCCTGCATAGTAATGAAGGGTTGGTTCTATCATACAAGTTGAAAAACACATGAAGATATTTTACATCATTTTTTCATTGCTGTTGAAAAACTGCCCTGAAATATCTTTGCTGGGGTTCATTCCATGTGTTCCAGTCATAATTAACAACTAAGTGGGACATAGGACAAATGTTCTTGTGCTGATGGAGTTAACTTTTAATGACAGGTTTCAGTTTTACAGCTACTTAAGTGGGAGCCAAAGCAGTGTACCTCCCAGGAACCTGACCACGTGTGAATTTCAAGAGAGTGCACCTTATTCCTAGCACCCAGCTCCCGTCACTCTGCCACCAGTCCTTAACACTATCCAGATGGCCAGTTTGGCAAAGGAAAACAGCCCGGTAGTGCCAAGGCTCTGGCGTCATACTCCCTCTGCTGATAAGGTATCTTCCCTGCTCAGCAGGATACCCAAGACTGACACAGGTGTCTTGGAAGGCACACTGCTGTTGCAATTCAGAAGGGTCCCAGATTTCTCCCCACCTTCAGCCCCAGAGGAATGACGACCTGAGGTTTAAGGAGAAAAACTAGACATAGGGTAATAGGAAAAGTTCCCACTTCTGAGCAAAAACATTGTCTTAGGTTTATACCAAGTGAAATTGGAAGATCAACAAAAGATGAGATTCAGTTTCAAATTTGTGTTCAATACAACAAGCACATTTTACTGAAAAAAATTAGACTAGCCTGGTCTTTCAGACACTACCAATGTGTCCACCACACTGCATTGCTAAGCCACACTGGAGTTCGGGTAAGGTTCCCTCTGCTAACTTAAGATTTTTTTTTTCTCATCATTTTTAGATTTACTTACATTCATATACATTGTGCCACCTTCCCCCTCACACACACTCCCCCATCCCTTTAGATTTGTAGCTTGTTGTGGTTTGGTTTAAAAAAAAAAGGGGGGGGTCTGTGTAGCCCAGCCTCAAACTCCTGATCTTCCTGCCTCTGGTAACCTTCGAGGAATTTTAGCATAAGGCTGGGAGGAGTGTAATTTTAGCATACACTTTTCTCTTCCCAATAAACGTAGTTCAAAGAATCTTTAAGCTGGGCTAATCACATTCCCATGAATTCTAAACTAATGGCTATGTTCAACTCCCCAAAACATCAAAATGTCAGCAAATTGCATTATCTGTGAAAAGGTTTTGTGGCAAAGGGAAATTACAGAATATGACTAGAAAAGGATTTCTTAGTGCTACACAGAATAAATTAAGACAGTAGTGAGCATTATAGTGTACCAAGCACAGGATGAGACTACATTTCAAGTCTCACAGAGTAATGTCAGACTTTTTAAAAACTTCTTCCCACTAGTTTGTACTTACATGCTAATATTAAAGGGAGGCATAAAAAGCCTACAGAAACACAATCTTTCTTGAAATAGTGTTTAGCATAGTATCTTGAAGAGCTCTAATGACTATTAAATTTTTTTCTTGGATAATTATGCACAGTGAAAGAGACTTCTAAATCTCAGGTCATTTTTTAGTTTTTCTTCAGAACAACACATTAGGGTGTGGGCATAGCTCAAGTGGTAGAGCACTTACCTGCAACATTTTCAATGCCAAACTTTCCACCATATGAAAGAAGAGATGCCAAAACTCAATCTCAGTATCCTGTAGCTAGTTTCAAACAGAAGATGGGGACTATATTCCCTGAAGTTGGGCCTGTGTATGTGAGAAGGCACAGCTCAGAATGAGCACAGGGCAGTGAAATAAGATCCTATGCATCACTTGGCCTTTTTCATGTCTATCCCACCAGTTCAGGAATTGACTTCCTGCTAAATTTGAGATTCAAGGATGATTCCTTCCCATTTGATTATAAGTAAACAGGTTAACCAGATGAACATTTGTTTACAAACAAGTCTCCAGAAATGTGTAAAGTTTATTAACATCGTTTTAAAAAAAAAACAGCTACAGAATATGGGGTACTTATTTACAAGTTTTATGGGAGGAACATTATAATCAGCATTTCAAACAAGCAAAGGAATACAGTTTTTTCTAGAAATATCAGTATTTCAAATCTCCAGGTAGAAGACTCATGGGAACATTAAGCAAATGCCACAGTTAGAAACAGAAAAACTAGCATTTAGAAATATATTTCTGAAATGGTAACTGTTACTTAAATGTGAATTTTCACAAAATTATTCTTGTAGCTAATTCATACAATATCTTTGCTTAGAAAAGCTGACTTGAAAAAAAACCAACACATTTAAGTCTTCATTTAAGTACATGCTTTCAAGCTAGTTTTTTATAAGTTGAATTATGGTTTCCAGAGTTTTAGGAGTCCGTCTTCACTGTAAGTAGCAATCAGGTTCTGATGAGGGTGATGTGCAATACCAATCACATCCTTTTCATGAACCTGGAACAGGGAAAACACAAAGTCAGTGTGTATAGGTCTTAGCAAGCCATACCACACACCAAAGAGGCTTCCGGAGCTGAGTGGAAGAGATCTTGAGAGTTCACATACTCCAAATGGCACAGCTAAAAAGATAGAGGAGGGTTATCCAACTCACATCACATGTGACATAAGAAATAACTCTTTTAAGCCTCTGAGATCTTGGAACTATTTGTTACAACAGCTGGTATTAATTACTCCTTATACTAAGCTTAGTATCACAGAGCTCAAAGTTTCAAAAATCATTTTGCCAGGATAATGTGTAAGTATTTTGCCCTCAAAAGGATGTGGAAAAAAATACCTGTATCATACTGTCTAATCTACCTGGCTAGACAGGTATGTTCCCTTTCTTCTCTGCTTTGTGTATACTTATCCTATCCACCTGAAGCTGAGGGGGTTACTGAGGGATGACTTTTCCTGGTAAAGAAGGCAATTTCACACACTCACAGATCCTTAATTTTACTTCGTGGTAAAATGCCTCCATTACATTTTTTTATACTGAGGGTCACACATTAATAGCAGTTTGAAAAAGGTATGTACTTCAGAAACACACAAGTATTACCATAATTCCTTCAGATGATCTTAATAATACTCACTGTCAAAGTTCTCTCCAGTTTGCCAGTGACTGTGCTGAAGCAGTAGAGCACAAAGTCTTCCCCCACACAATAGATCCATTCACCACGGGGAGAGAGGGCGCAACAAACAAAGTCACCACCTTCTCTTTTACCAGAGCTGAAGCTTCTGACAATCTAGTGCACACCACACCCCAGGACAAAAGGAAAGTATCAGATTAACAGGAGCTCAACCACAGGCAGCATTTTATTTTTTTTAATTAGGATATATTCATTATACCCGGGGGGGAGGGGGGGTGTGTGTGTGATTCACTTAATTTCCTATCAGTCTTATATTGCACATTATTTACAGTGCCCCATTGTCTCTCCCCCTCAACCCCCTTCCCACTCCACTTAGAGCAACTGCAAGAGGTTTTTTAGTTCTGTTTCATATAGGTATGTGAAGTCCATCAACCATATACCATCACCTTTATCTATTTTGAGTTATTTTTGGTGCTAAGAGACCAGGGCCTCATACATTCAAAGCTACCACTGAGCTGTACCCCTAGGTCCAACATTTTTTAAATGACAATTTTACATTGTTATTTTACACTTTGGTTACTATCTCCAATTCTGTTCATCATGTGCTAAGTCTTCTTGCCTAGAAAATATTCAATGGGTAAGCTACCTAAAGTAAGTAGCAGACAAATTTCAAATTTACACGAGTCATCGATCCTGCTCCTTAGAGTACTGTCCATATTACTATGAAGCAAATTCATTATCACATAATTTTCTAAATCAGGATACCACTAGTTCTCTTTTTGTTATTGTGACAGTGTCTTGCTATGGAGTCCAGACTGGCCTCCAATTTGCAATCCTCCTTCCCAGTGCTAGAACTATAGGCATGCATACACTAGCAAACTGTTAGTTTTCAATGCTTTATGGACTTATGTTTGCCAGTTTCCTCTTTCTAATAGATGAAATGCTCTTTCCATGCAGGATGGAATGGTCTCTAAGACTTTGCTTGTTCTATTTTATGACATTAAAATCATCATGAATCAAGCTGAGAGAAAAATCAATCTCAAAAGGCTGTAAGGACACATCTACATAATCCCATTTGAAAGGCTGAGGCAGGGTGATAGTGAATTTGAGGCCAGACTGGGCTACATATCAAGACCCTGGAGAGGGGCAAGGGAGCAGCTTAAAAGTTGCAAATTGAATGAGTTTATCTATACACTGTTCTCAAACTGACAAGATTATAATAATGGAAAATAGCAATAGCTTCCAGAAGCTAGGGATTGAAAATTGATTTGAAATTTAAAAATATCATTGGTATTAGCACCAGAAAAAGTGAAATACTTTGGGGTAAATATAATACAATATGCAAAAGATTTATATTACTAAAACTACAGAAGTCTGATAAAAGATATCAATGAATTAAAGAGATATTCAAAGAGATATTCCATGTTCATGGATACAAAGGCTCAATATGGTCAAGACATCTTCCCAATTTGATCTGTCTATTCAATGCAATCTCAATTAGATCCAAGCAAGCTGTTTTGTGGAGACTGACAAACTGATTCTAAAGGAAAGGCAAAAGACTCAGAACAGCCAACTCAGTATTAAAGAAAGAGGACAAAGTTGAAGGACTGACACTGGTAGACTTGGAGATTTATTATACAGCTACAGTAATCAAGACTATGCTGCTAGCAAAAGAACAAACTAATCAATGGAATAGAACAGAGAACCCAAAAATAGACTCAAAAAAATAGTCATCCAGGTGCTGGTGGGTCACATCTGTAATTCTAGCTATTTGGGAGATTGATACAGACTGTTCAAGAACAGCCTGGGCAAATAGTTCATTTGAGAGACCCCCCCATCTCCAAAATAACCAGAACAGTATTACTGGAGGTATGGCTCAAGATGTAGAGTGCACAGTCCTAAGTTCATACCGCAGTTCCACAAAGAAAAATAAATAAATAAATAAATCAAATAAAAAATACATATATATTTATGTATTGTAGCCATAGCCAACTGATCTTTCACAAAGGAGCAAAAGAAAGATAGCCTTTTTCAACAAGTGGCTCCAGAACTAGATAAGACACCCACAAGCAAAAACATGAATCTAGACACATCTAATAACTCTTCACAAAACTCAAAATGGGTTAGTCGTAAATGCAAAACTCAAAACTATAAAACTCCTAGAAGATAACACAGGAGAAAAATCTAGATGATCTTGAGTTTGGTTATAACTTTCTAGATAGAATAACAAAGGTATAATCCATTGACAAAGAACTGATAAGCTAGACTTAATTAAATTTTAAAATTTAAAAATTTCTGCCCTGTGAGAGCCACTGTCAAGAGGATTAAAAAAGACAAGTCACAGCCTGGCAGAAAAATAACCACGAGGATCATACTGGTAAAGGACTATTACCTATAATATAAAAAGAACTCTTAAAACCCAACAATAAGAAAACAATTGAAAAATAGGTCAAAGATTTTGACATTTTACCAAAGGTATACAAATGACAAGCATATGAAAAAAATGTTGCACATATCACAGGTCATTACGAAAAGGCAAATGAAAACAATGAGATCCTATTACACATCTATTAAAATGGCCAAAATCCAAAATACACAACATCCAATGGAAGCAAGGATGAGAAGCAATAAGAACTCTCACTCATTACTGGTGGGAATACAAAATGATATGGCCACTTTGAAAAGGAGTCTTCACAGTTTCTTACAAAACTAGATATACTTCACCATACAATCCAGTAATTAATCACACTACCTATTTACCTAAAAGAACTGAAAACGTATGTTCACACAAAAACCTACCGACAGAGGTTTATAGCAGCTTTATTCTTAAATATCAAAACTTGAAAGCAACCAAGATGTTCTTCAGTACCTGAAGTACCTGTCTGTGGGACATTCAGACAAAGGATACTCAGCACTAAAAAGAAATGAGCTATTAACTGGATGCCAGTTGCTCACACCTGTAATCGTAGCCACCTGGAAGACTGAAATCACGAGGATCATACTTTGAGGCCAGTTCAGGCAAATGTTTCAAGGAGACCCAACTCCAAAATATCCAGAGCAAGATGGATTGGAGGTGTGGCTCAAGCGGTAGAGTGCCTGCTTTACAAGTATAAAGCCCTGGTTCAAACCCTAGTACCAGCCAAAAAAACAAAACAAAACAAAAAAACCACCAAGTCATGAAAAACAAGGACCAAACAAAGAAGTCAATCTTTGAAAAGGCTGCATGCAACCATTATGACTTTCTGGAGAAAGGCAAAAAAAAAGGTGGGTTATGGCCAGAGCTAGAGGGGAAGGAAAGATGAATAAGCAGAACTTCAAGGACTGTATGAGCAGTGAAACAACCCTGTATGATACTGTAATGAGGATACCTGCCATTATACATTTGTCTAAACCCACAGAATATTCAACACTACTGGGCACTGGTGGCTCATGCCTATAATCTTAGCTACTCAGGAGGTAGAGATCAGGAGGGTCACAGTTCAAAGTCAGCCTGGGTAAATAGTTCACAAGACTCCATCTTGAAAAAACACAAAACACAAAAAAGGGCTGGTGGAGTGGCTCAAGGTGTAGGCCCTGAGTTCAAATGTGAGCACTGCAAAAAAAAAAAAAAAAAATGCTCAACACTGAGAATAAACCCTAATGTAAACTATAGCCTTTAGTGATAAAGAGGTGCCAATGTAGGCTCATCAACTGTAACAAATGTACCGCTCTGGTGGGGGTTGTTAATAATGGAGGAGGCTATGCACATATGGGGTCAGTGCCATATGGGAAATGTCTGTACCTTCTGCTCGATTTTGTTATGAACCTAAAACTCCCAAAATCAAAGATTTTTTTTTTTTTCTAGCGGTACTAAGGTTTGAACTCAGGGGCCTCATGCTTGCTAGGCACACACTACCACTTGAGTCACTCCATCAGCCCTTTTTTGTGTTGGGTATTTTCAAGATAGGGTCTCATGAATTATTTGCCCAGTGCTAGCCTCAAACTGAATCCTCCTGACCTCTGCCTCCTGAGCAGCTAGGATTACAGCATGAGCCACCGACCATTTTCTTAATGACAAAATTATAATAATGGAAAATAGATCAGTGGCTGCTGGGAGTTAGGACTGAAACACCAAAGAGATGTTTTGTAGAGCTATAGTTTAAGTAAATGTCTAAAAAACAAATACAACTCATAAAGTAGTACACCTTTATTTGGTTGTAGGGAAGGCCAGGACCAGGTACAGTGCAAAGGCCCTTTTCTGAGCACTTACCTGTCCTTGCATGTTCATGATGACCACTGTATTTGATCTGTTACACACCACAAAGTGCTCTGGGTTTTTAGGAAGCAGGATCACACTGTTGACAGTAATATCTGTCCCTGCAGTGCTGCCCAGAGACTTAAAGGTATTTGAACATTCTGTTGTCTTCATATTCCAGATCTACCACACAAAAATTTTAAGCATAAACATTTGAGTATAAGAACGACTAAAGTTTTAGGGCTTAAAAAATTAAGAATTAGGTTACTAAAAAAGTAAAATAGATTCAAAAAGAGCTTAGTTGATTTTAAAATCAACTACCCAACATTACCATGTATATAGTAAGCACTCAACACTGATTTGTTGATTAACTGGCATAAACAAAATGAAAGTCAAAAGATAAACAATAAAACCCTTTTTAAAGTCTATGATTTTTTTCATGTATACACACACACACACACAGATACATACTACACACACACACTTTTTTTGGTTGGGGGGAGGGTATGGAGTTTGAACTCAGGACTTTAGTCTTGCTAGACAGGCAGTCTACCACTTGAGCCATGCCCCCAACCCTGTTATGTATTCTTCCTTACCTAACAGATCTACCTGTCTTTGAAATTAGCTATGTGTCAATGTTACTACTATCAAAACCAGAAGTCAGGTATAATGGCTATTAATTCCAGCAGCCAAGAGGCTGAGGAAGAAGAATGATGGTGAGTTCAACACCAGCCTGGGCTACATAGTGAGACCCTGACTCAAAAAAAACAACAAAACAGCCAGGTGCCGAGTTCACACCTTTAATCCTAGCAACTTGGAAGGCAGATATCAGGAGAATCTCTGTTTGAGGCCAGCCCAGGCAAACAGTTCACAAGACCCCATCTTCAAAATAACCAGAGCAAAATGGACTAGAGGTGTGGCTTAGGCAGTAGAGCATCTGTTTTGCAATCTCAAAGCCCTAAGTTCAAACCTCAGTGTAATCAAACAAACAACAAAAAATACCACTCTTGTCTAGAAATCAAACTAAATGGGTACTTCTTAGCTTAGAACCCTATCCTAAAAATTCCGATTTAGTAGGTCTGAGGTGAGTAATAGGCACAGGCATTTTTTTAGTTTCACAAGTGATTCTAATGTATAGCTTATACTGAAAATGACCACACCTAAGTCACAATGTTGGCATATACATGAGGATTCATGAAGCAGAATCCACTTGGCCACTTGCATTACCTTTCTTAGTTTTTCTGTCCTAGGTTCTTATGAAGTGAAGGAGTTATATCAGTCAGCCCAAAAATCTGAGATGTGCTTAGAGAAGACATGGACTAAGCATTGCATGGCACTCTCCAGATATAACTCACTTAATAAACCTCTGTCCCACTTTCTCTGACTAACACAGAGCTTGGCATAATACAGATGTTTTAATAAATGTCCATAAATAGAAGGGAACAGTTGTCCACGAGTTGCCTAGTAAAAACATTTATCACCTGCTCCAGTCTTGTTCTGAATACCAGTTGCCAAGAAAAAAAATGAACATTTCAGGGATCAAGAGTTCTAAGGCTTTTAGTGTTTTGTTCAAAAGTCAAAGAGATGCTTTACCCCACTCACTGCAGAACTATGAGGAAAGACAACAAAACAAAACTAGACAAGCCACCTCCCAATGGCATTTATAAGTTGTAAGGCTCACACGTATAGCATACAGGGCAAATCCCATGACTGAAGTATTAAGAGCTCTGTATATTTATTTCCCCATCCATTCCAATTGCTCTCAGGTTTGTAGTTCAATGCCTAAGATCAAACAATTTCAGACGGTGGTCTGGCATTTAAGTGTTTATGTTAAAAACTCCCCATCAAAGCACTTGCTTACATAAAGCAATTTAAAAGAAGCAAGTCCAGAATGTAAAGGAGGAGTTATCTCAAAGAGATCAATTTCCTACTTGAGTTTCTCAGGTCTTTTCCAGGAAACAAGACCCTCTTTTTAAATAACTAAATTGTTTAAGGTACTAAAGACCCATTACTTTCAGCTGAGACTTGAGGAAAGCGAGTAAGTATCTGAGAGAGAGCTTAGTTCTACTCCTATTCCTTTATAAATGCTAAAAGAAAAGTCCTAAATTTAGGGGTTAGGGGTGGGATGAGGCTATGCAACAAAAAAGAGATCTATTTATTTGGCCACTGAACCTTTTGTGAATTTGACTGTTAGGGGTGGGCCTTATTTATAGCAAGATAGATTTAACCACTGTGTGTTATATGTGAATAGATCATTTAAAAGTAGGACTCCACACCTTTCCTCTTTTTCTAAACGATACAAGCTTCTTTGGATTGCATTATATAGGTCTGAGATTTGGAGTCCCTAAACCAATAGGGACTACCCACAGAGTATTACTTTTGTCTCAGACTCACTTCAGTTATAGTTAAAATAGATGGTAAGATGTTTACTCCACCACAGTCATCACCATTACCACAACTGCAACTTGTCAAAGAATAAAGGTAAAACAGACATCCTAAATTAACCAGTAGCAAATACTTAACCTTTACAGTGCCATCAGAGGACGCACTGATAATATAATGTCCATCTTGTGTAAATGTTGCTTCATTAACAAAGGAGGAATGGCCACGAAATTCCTTCAGGGTTTTCCCAGATTTTAAACCATGAATTCTATCACAATGAAAGCAAAGGAAAAGAACAATTAATATTTGCTATATTATTGTTAGGGCCAAGTGTTGAGTACATTTCAGATGAATTACAGAAGTTTGTTTCATAATATTAAGTAAAGAAAAAGGGCTCTGCCATCATGTATGCAGTACCATCTTCACTATGTTAAACAATGAAACAAAACCAAAAGCAAATTGCATAGAAAAAGACTGGAAAAAAATGTCATCAATACCACAACCTTCTGTCCAAGACTGAACCTCTAAAATACTAGTAAATAAGAGATTGAGAATCATTGAACCCAGATCACTGAGTCCCAGGCATCTATCAGTGACAGACACTCTAAAGTGATTATGACAGTTGAATCCATAGCCCACACTTTAAGAAACATGAAATACTGCAATACTCTCTTTCAAATTTCTCTTCTGGATAAAGACTCAAATGGTCAGAAGAACAGCAATGTGTCAAATGTAATTTGGGAAAACAAAGTCTCACATACCCTCACATTTCATATCACCCCATCCAGGTGAAGGCATGTAAAGAAGCACTGGTACCTTCTCCCTTTGGGCTTCAATTTATCAAACCAAAGTGAAGGTAGTTTTGAGATTCTCACTTACCTAATTGTCTGGTCAAAAGAGGCACTAAGAATCTGACTGCTATCTTTGGAAAAGCTTAGACAGGTGACACCTTTACTGTGTGCCCTTTCAAATCTCCTTAAACACTGTCCACTCTGAATCTTCCACACCTTTATTAAAAAAAGAACAATAAAAATTTGTAAGTAGAGTGTTTCACTGCAGCCCACAGAGCCATGCAATATGCAGTGCTCACCAATGGGCCAAAACAGCATTAAAAATGCATGCTAATAGCTGAATATGATATGTCTGGTTCATGGAGAACAATGACAGCTGAATCCTTTGAAACTTAAAACGCTTTCCTTGTAAATTATTAAAACAAAAATTCAGGGCTGGAAATAAAACTCAGTGGTAAGAGTATTTTGCCTAACATGCACAAGGCCCTGGGTTCAACAGCACCACATTTAAAACAAAAATTCAGACTCCAAGAACATCTCTTTATTTTGTCTAGCCCATGGAATAATCAATAATCAGCTGTACACCACCCACCCACCCCCAATAAAAAAATCAAAGTAGAATACATCACATACAGTGAGCCAGAACAGAAACAAGCATAGGAAGATTTTAGACCAAAGTCCCAGATCTATCATTTACCAGCTGTGTGACTTTAAACATGTTATTGGACCATCCAAGGTAGTTATTATTAGGACTAAACAAGAAAAAATAAAGTCATCTGCATAAAGATGATGCTCAATAAACTATAGCTAATCATGCTGAATATCACACATAGGACACTATATGATTACAGAATTCTCAAAATGTCTACATGCAAGAACTTGTGCCACTAATCCATACCTTGATTTTTCCATCTTGGGCCCCAGTTGCTAACATTTCTGTATCTCTGCTGAAACACATGCAGAGCACAGCATCATCCATCATCATGAAGTTATCCTGGGCCTGGTACTTAAGATCCTAAAGGAAATGATGGTTAGCATTTATTAAAAAAAATCAAAGACCACTGGCCCCATAACTCTAGAACCTCATTAAAAGCAAGATAACAGATTGTGCCTACTCTAAATCTCACTACTGTTTAGTAGTGCCAAGCACACATTCCTAATGAACTGATATTGCTAAAAATAATTCTGCAAAACTCAAATTAATATAACCCAGCATGTTAGTGTGTATTATTCAAGAGGCCAGGCGGGAGCACCACTTGAGCCCAAGAGTTTGGGGCCAGTCTCAGCAACATAGTAAGACCCTATCTACTTAAAAAATAGTAATACCAAGATGAAAAGCCAACATAATAATCTAGAACTTTTGCTTACTGGCATTTTCTAGGCAAAATTTCTCTACAGGTTCATATTTTACATCATTAATAACTATGAATTTACTTATTTGAGGGGATTTTTTTCAATTGTCAGCTAATTTTCCTAAAACCATTTATTGACAAATCTATTAATACTTCTTTCATCATCCACTATTGTTCAAATGAAAGTATCTTTACTAGTGAAACTGTAAAGTGAGACTGATTGATGGTTTAAAAAGAAAGGCAAACTATGCAAAAATATATAAAGTAGAAAGTGAAAATCATTCACAAACACATTACACAAGGAGTGGAATTTAGTACTCTGTGATAGTGATTACATTTTAAGTCAGTAGATAAAAGATAATAAATAGCTATTTGAGAAAAAAATTAAGTTGAAGCTACACCAACTTTATCATCACAGATGCTGGTGGCTCAAGTCTGTAATCCTACCTACTCGAAAGGCAAAGATCAGGAGGATCACAGTTCAAGGCCAACCTGGGCAAATAGTCTGAGAGACCCTATCTTGAAAATACCCAACACAAAACAAGGCTGGGGGAGTGACTCAAGTGTTCAGCACCTTTCTAGCAAGCGTGAGGCCATGAGTTCAAACCCCAGTAATGCCAAAAAAATACCCCAAAACTTTATTAAACATAAAAGTATGAGAAGAAATTATGGAAAAATGTGAATAAATGATACAAAATAATTTAAGTAAAACAAAACCATAAGTAAAGTCAGAAGATAAGTCAAAACTGAAAAATATTTGCAATGTATATTTTGACTTCCTCAAAACATAAAGAGCACTTTCAAAAAAAATTCAATAGAAAAATGGACAAAGGATATCGATGAACTGTACAGAATAGGAAAATATTGGTGGGTTTTCACATATAAACTTCCTAAGAGAAATACAATCAGTATTATAATTAGGTTAGACTGGAAACAATCTTAAAGCGGCCAGCTACATGTATCATGATTCAATGCATGCAATGGAATATATTAGAGCAATTATCTCCAAAACAAAGAGTAAAGGAGCAAAACACTATATATATTACCATCTGTATTTTAAAAAAAAAAATTTTTTGAAACAGGTGCCACTGGATCACACCTCTAATCCTAGTTACTTGGAAGGCTGAGATCAAGAGGATCATGGTTTGAGGCCAGCCTGGGCAGAGTTTGAAAGCCCTGATCTCCAAAATAACCAGAGCAAATGGACTGCAGGTGTGGCCCAAGCATTAGAGCACCTGCTTTGCAAGCACCTGCTTTACAACACAAAGCCATAAGGCTGGCAGAGTGGCTCAAGTGGTGAGAACACCTGCCTAGTAAGTGTGAGGCCCTGAGTTCAAGCCCAATGACATCAAAAAAAAAAAAAAAAGTAACTGCTTGTAAGCACACACACAATATTCTAGGAAGGTTAAATAAGACAAGAGTAGCCCTGACAGTCCAAGGAAGAGAAGTGACTGGCAGAAGGACATGGCAGAAAGTCAGATTTTCTTTTTTTTTTTTTTAAATGGAACTTTTTGAACTCATGGCTCTGAGCTTGCAAAGTAGGCACTCTACAGCTTGAGCCACTTTCAGCCCCAAACTCTTTACTTGACTACCTTCTGCCACCTTTTGAATGTGTATATATATATATATACATACATATATATATCCCATTCAAAATATAAACCTTTGGAGTCTTTGCTCCCATTTCCTGCATGAGGAACAGGAAATGTTTCTCTTCCTTTCTCCCCCTCCCTTCCCTCACTTCTTCCTCCTTTATCCTGTTATTCAAAAATAAATCTTTGCTAAAACGTCAAAACACCTATTTATATATATATATATGTTTATGTAAAATATTTTTTTCAGTTTCTATAAAATTATTAAAATACAGAAGTATACATAATAAAGTCCTCCCTTTGTTAATAAACTCAGAATTCAAATTTAAAATAATTTTAAATTAAAACTATAAAAGCAATAGACAATTAATTCAAAGTCAGTAATTCTTCCACTAGAAAAGGTGATATATTTAAAATACTTTACCTTCCTTATTTTTCCAGTAGTAAAGTTCCATACTTCAATGAACCCATCAACAGACCCAGTGACCAGATACTGACCATCTGGAGAAAATCTAGCACACTCCACATGTGATTTCTGACCAAACTGTTTCAAATGAAACAATGAAATGATTACTTTTTATCTAACACCCTTAAAAAAATTCTCATTTTAACCTTTTGAGAAACCCTAACCTTACAGAAAGTCATAGCTGGCCCATACTATGGAGTACTGAGGTATTTCTATACCTGGACATGGGGAGATAATGGATGTTTGCTATGACCAGTTTATGTTTAGATGAAGATAGGTTTTTGACTATGAGACTGAATTTCCCAAAGACAAAGGGGGAAACTATTTTAAAATGGAATTTAGAACAAATAATCGTGTTAGCTCAAACTGTTAAGTTTTTGCTAGACTCAACTATTATTAGCATGACTTTCATACTCAACATAGCCTAATGTGTTCTTGTTTCCTATCTAGGGGAATAGTTAAAAAAAAAAAAAGTATGTCTTCCTACACTATTTTTTAAATAAGCTTTCCATTATAATAAGGTTTATGATCTTTACTTAATCTGTGATAATGTGTGGCTCATAAAATCTAGGACAACTAATTAAACTTAATAGCCTAGTAAATGCTCAGAATGTGGGATGGTAATATGGGAAAACTATAGGACCTTACACAAATGAGAAAAACAGAGAGAAGTTCTAAAGCAGATTTCTTTTACAATGCCAAAAATGAAAAGTGCTTATGTCAGAAAAATCTTATCCCCGTAGCGTAATTATAATGAGTTTCTATGTCTCAATGCTTCAGGTAGGGTAAATAAAAGTGCTGCCCAAAAATATCACTTCTTGCAAGTTAGAACATATCATCTAGAAAAGATAAATCCAAAAAGCTAAACAAAGTCAAAGAGTTGAGGAATATGAAATACCTTTAAATCCATGAAGTTAATTAGAGCACAAACCCAGAGACAAATTGTAATATACAGGAGATGCTAAAGTAGGAAGTATACTTCTAATTCTGGGAACTACAGCAATTACTTCATTTGTGCTTTTTCCTAGAAAAGTCTAGACTAAAATAAAAAACAAGGGTTGGGAATATAATTCAGTGATAGAGAAACTTGCTATATGTGAGGTCCCTGGGTCGATTCCCAGAACTACAAAAGAAGAAAAGAAAAGAATCAGCACTAAGATGATAAAAATCATTTTCCTCAAACATTACAGAAGCCAACCTTACAATTCATGACATGCAAAAGGCAAAAACATCAATGTTTAACAGGACACTGTGTAGAAAGTTCATAGTCCCAGGTTTACTCAAAGAGTTAGCAATTCTTTCAAATGTGGACTTCTTGGAAGGAAAAGTAATGGTAGATGATGGGGCTGGTGTCAAGTGTATATCCACTTAGCTATACATTTAAGGTATGCCACTATCAGGCCACAACAGTACCCCAGTGGACACCATAAGAGTTATCAGAGCTACGGAATGAGATCTACTCTCTAGTACCCAAGTTCCTTACACAGGTCCTGGCTCAGCCTGTGATGAGTTCACAACAAATGATTATCAACTGGCTGAGTATCTAGAGATCCTACCTTAATATGTCTGCTGAGTTGTGTAGGAAACTTTTCTTCTTCCACATCTTTAACAGCTGCTTTGCCTCGAAACAAATCTATGGTCATACCAGGAGGAAGCAACCCCTGGTGCTGCTGCCACTTTAGTGCCTATGGAAAAAAGAAAGTACAGCAATCTGCCGAGGTGCTTTTAAGCTCTGGCCATAATTACTCAGACAAAACCAAGCCCGAAAGGATGAGGTCTAGAGGAAACTGAGTCTTCTAGACCCCAACCATCTTTGGCTATACAAGCATAACATAATCTGTGCTTCTCCCTGTGACCAAGAATACAAGCTGATCTGAATGGGAAGAGACTCAAGGTGGGAGGACAGTCCACACATCTATACTTCACCTGTTTTCCTTATAAGTGTGGCTCCTTTATTATAAATAAAATTTGGGAAATAAATTTCCCATAATTCAAATACTCAAAAACAGTTACTATTAACACTTTACATAAGTATTTTCCCCTTACATTAATGTGTTTAATTGCCCTAATAGTAATTATACTATATGTAAAATTTTATACTACTCTCTTTACCTTCTATCACATTACATTATGACATAACTATCATTTTAATGGTTACAAAACATACCCTTATCTACTGGATGTTTCACTTTACTTAATTTATTAGTGAACATTTACACTGCTTCCAACTTTTTACTCATCCAAACAATGCAGAGTATGTATGGACATAAAGGTTTTTCTTTTCCTTTTCTCTTTTCTTTTGGAGAACTCTTCCTATGTAGCTCAGACTGGCCTTGAACTCAAGGTCCTTCCGCCTCAGCCTCCTGACTGCCCGAATTATAGACATGCACCACCACACCTGTCCATAAGACTTTTTCTTTTTAGGGGATATTCTTCCCCAACAGTTTATCCCTAGAGAAAAACTACTGAATCCAAAACAAACATAAATGGTTAACACTTAATATAGAGCCAGATGTGCTGGTACATGCCTGTAATCCCAGCTACTCAGGGGGCAGACAGGGAGAAATTCAAGGCCAGCTAAAAGTTAGTAAGACTCCATCTTGACAAACAAGCTGGGTGTGAGGCATGTGCCTGTAATCCCAGCTATGTGGAAGGCACAAGTAGGAGGACCATGGTCCAAGACTAGCCCTGGGCAAAAATGTAAGACCCTATTCAAAAAAATAACTAAAAGAGGAAAAGGACTGAAGAATGGCTGAAGTGACAGAGCACCTTTCTTTCAAGCATAAGGCCCAGTCTCAAACCCCTAGTACAAAGACTATTAATGCCAAACTTTTCTAAAAAAGGCAGTTTTCTAAAAAAGTTGTAATCACAACAGTTTTCAAAACTGTATTATGAAGGGTGGAAAAATCATGGACTTTGGAGACAGATGGTCCTAGGATAGTTCATTTGCCAACTATGTCATTTTGCCTTCTCCATTAGTCAGGGTTTGCCAAAGAAACACTAACAACTAGAATGTACTAATTATAAGAATGTACTAATTATAAATTAGCTCACACTTATCAGAGGCTAAATATTCCCACAATGGTCATCTATTGGCTGAACAGCCAGAGAAACCAGTACCTGTTTGGTCAAGATGCCAGAAACCCCAGAAATAGAGAAGTACAACCCCACTCCAAGGTCAAAGGCCTGAAAAAAATCCCCTGGAGAGTCACTAGTACAATTTCAATTCAAAGGGAGAAGAATTTGGAATCTGATGTATATAGGTGACAACAGAAGAAAAGTACACCTGGCTCAAAAGGATCAAACACATCTACTCAAAAAGGGTTAAGGAACCACAAGCTTCTCCTCTTGCTGCTTTTTTGTTCCATGTAGGCCCTAGCCTACAGGATGGTGCAGATTTAATGCAGGGAAGCTCTTCCTACTCAGCTCTCTGACCCACATGCCATTCTCTAGGCTAGAATGATTTTCTTTTTTCTTGCTGGGGACTGAACCCATGGTCTCATACACGCTGAGCAAGTGATCTACCACTAAGCTATACTCCCAGCCCCAGGATAAATTTTTTACTCTACTGTTGCACTGATTACAATAAACATTCTTGTGCCAAGAATGTTTGATTCAAATTATGTACTTTTTATTAAACGTGTCTACATTTCCATGACTATCATGCTCTCATCCATTTTCCTTTTCAAAATCGCTTTGATAAATATACTTTTTTGGGAGGGGGTGAGACAGCACTGGGAATTGAATGCAGGGGTTCATGTTTGCTAGGCAAATGCTCTGCCAACCTCAGTCCTGATAAACATACTTTAAAGTTTACTTTTCATTATGACTACATGCATAAATTGTACATCTTCCAAACTCTTAGCTCCTGAGAAACATGGAGATTATATAGCCAATATATATGTATCCATATCCATATCCATATGTATAAGACCTGAAAAAATGTATAGGTTAAATATATGTTACATATTTGTTATATATGTGTATATATACATATATACAGCATGTAAATATTTTGCTCTCTGTGTGCTCTATGAAGGGATATAAAGAGGCAGTGATCGCACTTGAAATTAAGACAATAATTTAGCACCAAAATAAAGATAACAATTGAAAAGAAAAAAAAAAGTTTACTTTTCTGGTAAACACTAAAATTCTTTTGTGAAACAGTTCTAATCTGTGATCTTTACTATAATTGCTTTAGATCTGAGAAATTACATCAACTGTCAATCTTACCCAAAATCTCTCAGTTACATCTCAGAATCACAAATCCAAATGCCTATTGTAGAGGTTTCCACTTGTATATCCTATAGGAACTTCAAAATCAACACAAAAAAAAATAAGCCATTTTCCCTATCCCGTCTCTTAACATCAACCCCAACAAATCTGCTCTAAAGTCACTCAAGCCAAACATCTAAATAGCAACCTAAAGCCAAAGCCTCATTTGCTCCTCACATCTAACCAATTAAATGTTGAAGAACACATGAGTTTATTTCCACTTTTTCTAGAAAATGCAAGAAAGTGATGACAACAGATGAAAAAAGGCACATATCTAGCAAGGCCTGTTGGTACATGCCTGTAATATGAGCACTTGGGCGCTACAGGCATGGCTCAAATGTGGTGGAACACTTGCCTAGCAAGTACAACCACAAGGCCCTGAGTTCAAACCCCTGTGCCACCAAAAAAATTAATTAAAAAGTAATTCTTAAAAAAAAATTTTAAAGGCACATATCCAAAACTACGAGAATGGGATAAGAAATAAGCAGAAAAGATGTGCTAAATTTCAAAAACTGAAAGGACTAATGACAAGCAAGAAGAACTGGGAAAATTGAAAACTTAGGTATTCAAGGTATAGATGGGGAAGCCAGAAGAAGCAAGCCAAATTCGAAAATTCTAAACTCCAAAATGGCTTAGGAATTAGAAGAATCATATACCCTTTAAGGACAAGGTGTGCCATAAGGCTTAAAAAGGGCAACAATAAAATCTGTTTAAGAAGCAATTAGCCCCCCAGGACCACTCTTAACCTTAGGTAAAAGGTCACTACTATACCTTAATCTCAAGAGAAACCAGGTAGCTTATCTTCTAGAAAAGTTGAGGTCCTGGGCTCTGGAAAAGTCAGTAAGCTAAGGGCAAGACATGAGTGAGAAGCCATAAAAAAAACCGGGGTAATTCAGTGCAAACTGGGATATCAAATAGTAAGACTTCTCTGACCTCCATGCCCATCATTATCCTCCCAACTCTTTCTCCTAGGTTATAGCTTTTATCTGCCCCAGGCAGGAACAAGAGTATTCTATGGAAAAGTTAGACAACCAAGAGAATATTTCTACAGACAATACCTGAAGATCCTCATCTCATCATTCCAGACTTCTCCTTCCACTTCAACCCAACACATAGTTTCCTAACAGCTTTTTAGTGTTCCTCTCTTAAATATGAACCAACAGCTAGGGATCACTAAGTATTTGCAGAGGGCTTCTACATACAGGTAGCAAAACAAAAAGACAAGTGGGACTTAGAAAAAAAGGAACAATATAAAGACAATGCAGGGAGGAACAGCCCTGGGGGTGTAGCCCAGTAGAACACTTGCTAGCATGTGCACAGCCCTAGGGTCTGATCCCCAACAAAAGCAAACAAGACAAACAACAACAATAAAAAACTGAATAAAGAGAGATACAACAAATTATAAATACAAATAAAATCTCAAAAATTTACTTCTGGTACCAAAAAATAAGTTACTTCTATGCACCTTTTTCTTAATACTCCATCAAAATGAGAGTCTAGCCAGGCACCAGTGGAGGCTCTGAGATTGGGAACATTGAGGTTCAAGGACAGCCAAGGCAAACAGTTCATGAAACCCCATCTCCAAAATAACCACAGCAAAATGGATTGGAGGTGTGGCTAAAGGGGTAGAGCACCTGCTTTATAAGCATGAAGCCCCAAGTTCAAACTCCAGGCCCACCAAAAAAAAAGGATCTAGGGCTGGCAGAGTAGCTCATGTGGTAGAATGCCCACCTAGCAAACATGAGGTTGAGTTTAAAACCGAGTACTGCCAAGAAAATGAGTTTAAACTACAAAAGGAAGGAAATAAAGATCTATAAAATATGACAAGAGGGCAAAAATTCTCTGTATGAAAACAAACAGTACTTGTGTAGCAATCCAAGACAACTAATTCTTAAGGAAACAAAACGAGAGGGGCTTCAGGAACAGGATGAACAAAAAGGAAAAAAGGATTTTTTTTTTTTTTACAATTCTGGTAGGAAGATTCATGCTGAATTATCAGACGACACAGAAAACTAGGCAAAAGAAAAACTAAAGCAGTGGTGGCTCATGCCTGTAATCCTAAGCTACTCAGGAGGCAGCTATCAGGAGGATGGAGGTTCAAAGCCAGCCTGGGAAAGTAAGTCTGTAAGACCCTATCCCAAAAATACCCATCACAAATTGGAGAACATCATTCTGAGTGAGGTTAGCCTGACCCAAAAAGACTAAAAATCATATATTCTCCCTCATATGTGGACATTAGATCAAGGGCAAACACAAGGGGATTGGACTTTGAGCACATGATAAAAGCGAGAGCACACAAGGGAGGGCTGAGGATAGGTAAGACACCTAAAAAATTGCATTTGTTGCCCTTAACGCAGAGAAACTAAAGCAGATACCTTAAAAGCAACTGAGGCCAATAGGAAAAGGGGAC